TAGCCACAGGCTCATATAAATATGACTTTTTAATAATTATGATAAGTCTGATAAATCAAATGAGTACTCTATTGCTTTTAATACATAATATATTATATATTAAGGCATTTCAAATGTATTTTTTTTGCAATATTTTAATTTTTTAAGCCCCAAATGTTGATAGTTGAAAATTTTCAATTTTAACGTCTAAATTTAACATGCAAAGTTGAATATAGAATTAGTCATATTGTCTATAATATATATCCTATTGCCATGAAACTTTGTAAGCAGTCATTATAATTTAATAAGCTTTAGTCATACCAAGTGTCATTAAGATTTATCAACTTTTTCCACCCTATTAGGTCCGGGTACACAGTTATCGTCCTTTGATTTTCGTTGTCCACGAATATAGTCCCTAGTGTGGACAGTGTGTTACTTGTCGATTTTTTTGATACCCCTTCCAAATTTATTTCTCCATGTTTTATGACTCAAATAGTATTTAGGTGGGTGAAATGACACTGTAAAAAAAATTGGGTCATGAATTTTAAAGTAAAGTAGTGATTTGGTCCAGCTGAAAAATGTTAAAAATTAGCACTTCGGAAGCTGTCAAAAGATTTGAAGACCCCCTTAACATGAAATTGTCCATATTTTGAGTTGGAGCCGATGAAGTTTTTCTATAATTTTGATATAATTTGTCCCAAAAGTAGTACAACACACTGTAAAAATATTATTGAGAAAGCGCAGGTGGGATTTTTTTAATTTTCATTTATTGTCTAAAAGAAATACACTACGAAATAACTGTGTACTCGGTCCATATGAATTCCGACTATCTGTTGAAAAAGACGTCTTCTACACAAATTAGCTGTTAAAAAAAGTTTCAAGCATCTTGGTAGTTTCAGAGAACGTTTATATCCCTTCCAAAAAAGGTATCAGCATTTGCTTTACCATTCTGAGGACTTGGGATGACTTTTTGCTCATTTGTGCTAAGTTATGAAAGGAAATCGCTTCTAAGTATTTTTTATACAAACAATGTTGTCATTTGCATACAATGATTTTAACTAGCTTACAAAAACTTAAGTTAAAGAGTTTTAAAAATATTTAATTTAACACCACCGATAAAATACAATTGTACTTCACATACAAATGGTGACGCACCTGCCCAGCCCGCCAGGTCGATATATTTTTTTTGTAAACTGCTTAATATCTTGGCAGAACTCATTGTAGAGAAAATAATCCCAGAAATTGATGTTTAAATCGGAGAATTAGGCAAAATATTTGAAGTCCTTTTTCTGTGATGTCATGTTTCACTTGATAACAATCAAAAAGTACACACAAACATCCAAACACCTAACTTCTGCAACAAGAGTATTAATGGTACAGATAAGTTCTATTATTAAAAAATGACATGAACATTTACGATTCTTATTGATTATCTGTGTACATTATTTATAGTATAACTAATTGCCGTATTCTGAAATAAAAAATATGACAACGCGTAACCGAACGACGCATGGATAAAACGAGTGAACAACACAAGTGTAATCATCAGGGGCGTTCGGTCACAAGTTGTCTCATTATTTATTCAAATACGGCAATTAGTTACTCTTTATTATATAGAAACAGAATATCAAAATTCTTTTCTGTGTAACTGGTGTTATTTGGATTAACTTTACATTATCATTGATGATTTCAGTATACTTTTTTGGCATATGAATAAATGTGTATTGCGCACACTTGCCAAAATGGAAGATCGTCACTTCGAGATGATTAATACAGGTTTTGCGATTATTTGGAAGCAAGAATTTGTTTTAAAAGCACCCAGACTATTAACTGTTGATATGAGAAACACTTTATCCTTGATTTTTAAGTATCGAGGCGGAAATCTTCAGTTGGAAGTCTCACGTGAGGGTTCAGTAAAAGTCTCGAGAGTGAAGATAAACGAGTTGCTGTATTTCACATGAGAGATTAGTGGAATTTATCTTAACGGGAAATTCATATAAATATCCATTATTTAATAATAGAAATTTATAGTTTTGCATATTTTTCAAGATTATAGTCAACAAGCAAACATTAGTATTAACTCCCTAACATATCAGCCATGCTTACCTTTTTGTAGATTTGGTCTTGCTGATACATTATTGTACTCATTTCCTTTCAAAGTTTATCTCTATCTATAATAATATTTAAGATAATAGACAAAACGCAAACTGGCATTAACTCCAATAAGGAGTCGATAGAAGATTTCTGTCATATGACCTTTTAATATATCTGATATTGCTGATCATTATGACTTTTTTGGAGATACTTGATGAAACTATAAATCTGAAAAAAACATTGTAATATAAAGACAGTAAGGGCAATAGAAGACGTATTTCTCAATATTGACTTGTTAACACTTTTGCTGTTTAATGTTTTAGTTTTTTTGTTAAAGTTTTCAAGATAACTATTCAAAACGCAAATAGATAGGTAAACATCTTTATTTAGTGTTATAACTCATATCAGGAGTCAGTATACGGTTTGTTTCTCCCATTTATTTGTATTGTGGTCCTGTCATGTGATGTTGTCGTTTTGGTGTTGTGTTTGACGTTGCAGTAAAAGCGGGAGGTTTGGCATGCCACAAAACCAGGTTCAACCCACCATTTTTTTCTTAAAATGTCCTGTACCAAGTCAGGAAAATGGCCATTGTTATATTATGGTTTTTTTCTGTGTGTGTTACATTTTAATGTTGTGTTTTTGTTGTGTCGTTGTTCTCCTCTTATATTTGATGCGTTTCCCTTAGTTTTAGTTTGTAACCCGGATTTGTTTTTATCTCTATCGAGTTTCGAACAGCGGTATACTACTGTTGCCTTTATTTGTGTTATATTAATTAAAAGAACATATTGTCTGGTTGATCATTTTGTTTTTACAGTTTCTACCTTTCAAGATAGTTGTCAAGAAAATGCTATTGACTAAAAAAAAAAAAAATAAAAAAAAAAAAATGATAACACATTGGCATGGGTCAAATTATCGTAACCACAGTCCGTTCTCTTTTCCTCGATTGTAATATACCAAATAAGACTTTTCTCCCGAGTTTTTCTTTCACGAGCAACACGGCGGGTTCCACAATTGGAGCAAGATCTTTTTCTGGAGTATCTGAGATCACCCCGGCTTTAAATGGGGTTCGTGTTGCTCTGTCTTTTAGTTTTCTATGTTGTGTTTTTATATTGTTTTTTGTCTTTTTCTAGTTTTACTGTTTTTTCCATGGCATTGTCAGTTTGTCTTCGACTTATGTGTTTGATTATCCGTTTGATATCTTTCGACTCTCTTTTAAGGATAATGACTCTTTAAAAGGGCTGATTTTTTTGTAGATGTAGATCTGGTACTTCTTATCTTTTTTGCTGATAAAAGTTTCTTTTTATCTATTATAGTTTAATTTTTTTTATCATTGTTAAAAGATCAAAAATTGTCATTAAACGGCATTAAGTTTTTAAGAGTGGACTGACGATTTCCGTCAAGTAACATGTTTCCAAATCTTCTTTTGTCGATCATGTTTTTTAATTTTTGCTGTCAATAAGGGACGATAAGACTGGGCTAGTAATCCGCAAATAGTAAACAGATTTCAAATTTACTAAGATTATTTTGAGGCCACGATGCCCATCCACCCACCCATCTTCGCACCCATCCGCCTGACATCAACATACTATTAACTGGTTTTGGACTTCGTCAAACCCGGCCAAAAACAGATAACAAACAAACAGAGTTTAACAGCTCAGTTTGAATATTAAAACAAAATTTATTTTAATCACAAAATCACGACCAGAACTTTTTATAATGTAACAAAACAAAGGAGAAAAAATACATCTGTTTTAAAAAGAAAGAGCAGAGTGACTAAATAAAGCAGATTATCCAATATCTCTGACAATATTGTCAAATTGATAGCGGTAAAGGATATGGAAACAGAGTATCATAATAAAAAAAATGAAAAAATATTTAGAAAGAGCAAATATTAACGAATATTAGCGAATGGCCAAAGCACTGTTGACAGTATGTCGGACACCCAATTTTGTCAATATAACGGAACTATAAACAACTGTTATACAAGTGAGAGGTTTAGCTAGCTATATACATATAAACAAGGTTTAACCCAACATTTTACTGAAATGCCTGTACCAACTCAATAATAAGACAGTTGTTTCCAACTCGTTCCGTTGGTTGATAACTTTTGAATTTATCAGTTTTATGGACTTATTGTTTTTGAATTTACCTTGGAGTTTGGTATTTTTGTTATACATTTTTATACAGAGTTACGGGTTACTTGTAGTTTATATAAATTGCAATCAACGTATGATCGCCATTTAAAGTATAGCCCGATCAAACTCATTGCTTATATAACTAATAGAATATTGTTTGAGAAATGTTTATTTCAGATTAATACATCGCATCATGTTCTTTCGTTGCGATATAACCCTTTTTGGATGCGAAGTTTCGCAGTTACAAATCAATCAATCAATCATCATGTTTTACAGCTGAAACTATATTTACGCAACAAGTACTTAGGAAGAGGATTCTAATTTGATACTTGATAAAACTCATTTAAAATACCACGCATATAATTTATTAAGCCTGACGCGCGTTTTGTGATCATAAGACTCATTCGTGGCATTTTTACTTACCATAAGCTAGTATCAGACATTTAACTTATTGTAAATTGGTGAATAAATACGGTAAGAATAGGATAACATCCCAGTAAACATAAAAAAAAGTTTCAATTAGAAAACAAAAAAAATTAAAAAATACAATAGAATATTATTTATGTTGGGTAGGTCATACTTTTAGTCAAGTATACGTTTAAGTTGATTTCCGAACGTTGTCACGCAATGAAATATGCGTAATTTTGAGATGATCCATAAAATCCCGTCTTTCCCATTTGTCATTAAAGTACAATAAATCACTCGAGGCAATAATGCTTTGTAATATCTACACACAAATGTAAATGTGCATCCGCTTGTTTAATATTGCGTTGTTACATGTACTTTATAAAGGTAAATATTCATTGAAGACGATATAGCCACATTTTATGGAAAAAAATTGAAATATAATGAGAACTAGTGATCATACATACGACGAACCTACTGATGAGAAAGGATATACACAACTTGCATCTATTTCAGATAATTATCGAAAGTATGACGACTTAAAGCCATCAGGCTCGTATCACTCATATTGTGAACCTCAACCAGATCCTCAACCATATCATATGCGCAAAGATGTGACAATAAAATTGGATATTTCTGATGTTCATGATAAAAAATCAAAGTGTCTCATAAAATTTTGGATAGCGTTAACTACTGTTATTATAATAGCATTAGTAGCTGGGCTGACGCACATTGTGATAAAATCTCGCTACAATACAGAAGTATGTATTAAATCTAAAGGCAGTGGAAACTCAAGTTTTCGGATATCTGAAATTTGGACAAAATGTCCAAATGACTGGAAGACATTCGATGCATGGTGTTATAAAGAATTTTCACAACGGCGAACATGGTTTAAGGCTCGTGACTATTGTCGAAGTATCGGAACTGATCTAGTTAGTGTTCATAATAAAAGGGAAACTAATTTTTTAATAACTAATTTTACACAGACTTCTCAGTGGATAGGACTCAGCAATTTTCAAAACAATGGGAAATATGTCTGGAGTGACAGAACAATTTTGAGCTATACTGATTGGGGAGAATCAGAACCGAATAACTTCAATAATAACGAGAACTGCGCCCAACTTTTGAAACCCGACTCTCAAAAGTGGAATGATAACAATTGTTTTATGTCGTTGAGATTTATATGCAAAATGCAAATAAATCCAAGGTGTGGGCCTGGTGATTGGGTATATTATGAAAATACATGTTATTCTATTGATATGTCAGTGGCTAATTTTACTGAAGCCCGTAAACTTTGTATGAAAAATGGTTCAGATTTAGTTATCTTTAAGTCTAAAGAAGAATATAATTTCATAATAAGTCAAACTACTAAGCACTTGTTGGGTGCTGATTTTTGGATTGGATTACAGAAACTAAGGAATCAGACATACAGATGGATAGATGGCAGTCATCCTACGTACCTCACCTGGGGTATAGATGAACCAAAAGGAGATAATAATTCATGTGTCAAATCGTCTACCATGTATGGAAATTGGTATGGTGATAGTTGCAGCAATCAAAATTGGATTGTTTGTGAGAAACAATTACTTAGAAATGTATAAAATTATCATTAGAACTCTGTTCTAGTTATAAAATATTAGAAAACTGAATATTTGCAAAAAGTTGTAAAAATCAATAATAAGTTTCATTGATGCATATTTGTTTTTACTTGATTTCATACCTCAGGTTCTCGTTAAGTGGCCACAATATGATGCAATGTTAATGAACAAAGATACTTACAATTGAGTATCAATGGGATAATTAGACGCTAAAAATAATACAACGAATTAACTTGAACGCGAACGGTATCTTTAATGCGTGCTAGATAAAGAACGCCAAGAAACAGTTAAACTAAGCATCACAACTGTGTATAACTACAATATATTCCTTTCGTAGACAAAACACACTACTCTCGTACTAAATAATAAGACTGGTATCTTTGTTATACCTGACAAAATGTATGGATTTAGCCATATATTAATGGGCGTGTACCAAGTCCGGTTAACTGGACCATATGTTTTTCGTTGTTGTTTGTCTTTGTTTTTATGGTTTTTTTTCCGGAGGAGTATGGGTTAGTGGTCAATGTTGTCTGTTATACTGTGTGGTATTTTTTGGCGTTTCCCGTTATTTCTCTTTATGTATTAGTAACTTAGTAACTTCTTTACAAACGAAAAAAATAAAATAAAAATTCGTCCAAATCCCTCGTATCGCCCCCCTCCCCCCAAAATTAACAAAATAATAATTGTGTTACGCGCTGAAAAGAACAAATAAAACGAGGATCTGATAGGATTCACGTTTTTCACGCAAGGCAGGTAAAACTTTCTCTTAAAAAATTTCCAGGAACCAACTGCGTGAATAGTGTTGTTCAATGGTAACCTGGTTGATTAAACCCATATTAGCCCTGCCTGATATCAAGAGGGCAGACTGATCATGGTTTATCAACTTAGTTGTGTTCATACGTCGGAGGTATATGGTTATCAGATTATCCGCCTTTTCCATATTGGATTCCTTGCACGGCTTTGGTTATACTTTTTGTACTTTTTGGTTTTACAAACACTCTGATGGTGGACTGTAAGTCTCCGAGGGTATCACCAGGCTAGTAGCCAGTACTTTGGTACTTGCATGAAAATCCGGATATTTTGTTATTAAAATGTTCTGGTATAACATTTTTGAAATTATTTTAGATTAAGGTATATATCTCCCTTATGCAAAATTTTGATTCCTTGCCCGGCTTTGGCCTTACTTTTTGTCTTTTTGGGTTTCATTATCTCTTCAGTATTTTAAATAGGTTTGTATTTCATATATTTTTGCCTCTAGCGTCACTGAAGAGACATTTATTGTCGAAATGCAAATCTGGTCTAGTAAAATAGGTACCGTCAATGTTATTCTTGATGTAAGTTAAGATATGAAACAGACCTAACCGTGTATGCGGAATCCTTTACTTAAAGTTCACTGGGATAGATGCAACCTTCACATTCACCAAGCTTTAAATTATTCAGTAAAATGACATCTTCTATACTAGAACTTTAAGTTAAGGATGTAAACAGTTTTTTTCTATATTTTTTTTTGAGAAGCTGCTGTAGAAGAATTTATAAAAAAAAAAAGTGTGCTGGAAGAAGGGAAAAATTGGTTCCCATATGAATTCCGACTATCTGTTGAAAAACACGTCTTTTACACAAATTAGCTGTTAAGAAAAGTTTCAAGCATCTTGGTAGTTTCAGAGAACGTTTATATCCCTTCCAAAAAAGTTATCTGCATTTGCTTGGCCATTCTGAGGACTTGGGATAACTTTTTGCTCATTTGTGCTAAGTTATGAAAGGGAATCCCTTCTAAGTATTTTTTATACAAACAATGTTGTCATTTGCATACAATGATTTTAACTAGCTTACAAAAACTTAAGTTAAAGGGTTTTAAAAATATTTAATTTAACACGACCGATAAAATACAATTGTACTTCACATACAAATGGCGACGCACCTGCCTAGCCCGCCAGATCGATATATTTTTTTGTAAACTGCTTAATATCTTGGCAGAACTCATTGTAGAGAAAATAATCCCAGAAATTGATATTTAAATCGGAGAATTAGGCAAAATATTTGAAGTCCCTTTTCTGTGATGTCATGTTTCACTTGATAACAATCAAAAAGTACACACAAACATCCAAACACCTAACTTCTGCAACAAGAGTATTAATGGTACAGATAAGTTCTATTATGAGACTCGCTTTATCCTTGATTTTTAAGTATCGAGGCGGAAATCTTCAATTGGAAGTCTCACGTGAGGGTTCAGTAAAAGTCTCGAGAGTGAACATAAACGAGTTGCTGTATTTCACATGAGAGATTGTGGAATTTATCTCTACGGGAAATTCATATAAATCACCATTATCTACTAGTTTATAATAATAGAAATTTATAGTTTCGCAAATATATTTTATTTTTCAAGATTATAGTCAACAAGCGAACATTAGTATTAACTCCCTAACATGTCAGCCATGCTTACCTATTTGTAGATCTGGTCTTGCTGATACATTCTTGTACTCATTTCCTTTCAAAGTTTATCATAATAATATTTAAGATAATAGACAAAACGCAAACAGGCATTAACTCCAATAAAGAGTCAATTGAAGATTTCTGTCCTGTCATATGACCTTTTAATATATCTGATATTGCTGATCATTATGACTTTTTTGGAGATATTTGATGAAACTATAAATCGGAAAAAAAGATTGTAATATAAAGACAGTAAGGGCAATACAAGACGTTTTCCTCAATATTGACTTGTTAACACTTTTGCAGTTTTTACAATGTTTTAGTTTTTTTGTTAAAGTTTTCAAGATAACTATTCAAAACGCAAATAGATAGGTAAACATCTTTATTTAGTGTTATAACTCATATCAGGAGTCAATACACGGTTTGTGTTATATTATTTAAAAGAACATATCGTCTTGTTGATCATTTGTTTTTACAGTTTCTACCTTTCAAGACAGTTGTCAAGAAAATGCTATTGACTAAAAAAAAAAAAGAAAAAAAAAAAAAGGATAATGCATTCGGCATTGGTCAAATTATCGTAATTACAGTCCGTTCTCTTTTCCTCGATTGTAATATACCAAATAAGACTTTTCACCGAGTTTTTCTTTCACGAGCAACACGACGGGTTCCACAATTGGAGCAAGATCTTTTTCTGGAGTATCTGAGATCACCCCGGTATAAATGGGGTTCGTGTTGCTCTGTCTTTTAGTTTTCTATGTTGTGTTTATATAAAAAGAAAGAGCAGAGTAACTAAATAAAGCAGATTATCCAATATCTCTGACAATATTGTCAAATTGATAGCGGTAAAGGATAGGGAAACAGAGTATCATAATAAAAAAAATGAAAAAATATTTAGAAAGAGCAAATATTAACGAATATTCGCGAATGCCAATGCACTGTTTACAGTATGTCGGACAGCCAATTTTGTCAATATAACGGAACTATAAACAACTGTTATACAAGTGAGAGGTTTAGCTAGCTATATACATATAAACAAGGTTTAACCCAACATTTTACTGAAATGCCTGTACCAAGTCAATAATAAGACAGTTGTTTCCAACTCGTTCCGTTGGTTGATAACGTTTGAATTTATCAGTTTAATGGACTTATTGTTTTTGAATTTACCTTGGAGTTTGGTATTTTTGTTATACATTTTTATACAGAGTTACGGGTAACTAGTAGCTTATATAAATTGCAATCAACGTATGATCGCCATTTAAAGCATAGCCCGATCAAACTCATTGCTAATATTACCAACAGAATATTGTTTGAGAAATATTTATTTCAGTATGGATACATCGTATCATGTTCTCTCGTTGCGATATAACCCTTTTTGGACGCGATGTTTAGCAGTTACAAATCAATCAATCAATCATCATGTTTTACAGCTGAAACTATATTTACGCAACAAGTACTTAGGAAGAGGATTCTAGTTTGATACTTGATAAAACTCATTTAAAATACCACGCTTATAACTTATTAAGCCTGACGCGCGTTTTGTCAGCATAAGACTCATTCGTGGCATTTTTACTTACCATAAGCTAGTATCAGACATTTAACTTATTGTAAATTGGTGAATAAATACGGTAAGAATAGGATTACCTTCCAGTTAACATAAAACAGTTTCAATTAGAAAACAAAAAAAATAAAAAAATACAATAGAATATTATTTATGTTGGATAGGTCATACTTTTTGTCAAGTATACGTTTAAGTTGATTTCCGAACGTTGTCACGCAATGAAATATGCGTAATTTTGAGATGACCCATAAAATCCCGTCTTTCCCATTTGTCATTAAAGTACAATAAATCACTCGAGACAAAAATGTTTTGTAATATCTACACAAAAAAATGTAAATGTGCATCCACGTGTGTAATATTGTGTTGTTACTTTATAAAGGTAAATATTCATTGAAGACGATATAGCCACATTTAATGGAAAATAATTGAAATATGATGAAAACTAGTGATCATACATACGACGAACCTACTGATGAGAAAGGATATACACAACTTGCATCCATTTCAGATAATTTTCGAAAGTATGACGACTTGAAGCCATCAGGCTCGCATCACTCATATTTTGAACCTCAACCAGACCCTCAACCATATCATATGCGCAACGATGTGAAAATAAAATCGGATATTTCTAATGTTCATGATAAAAGATCAAAGGGTCTCATAAAGTTTTGGATAGCGTTAACTACTGTTATTATAATAGCATTAGTAGCTGGGCTGACGCACATTGTGATAAAATCTCGCTACAATACAAAAATATGTATTAAATCTAAGGGCACTGGAAATTCAAGTTTTCGGATATCCGAAATTTGGACAGAATGTCCAAATGACTGGAAGACATTCGATGCATGGTGTTATAAAGAATTTTCAGAACGGCGAACATGGTTTTAGGCTCGTGACTATTGTCGAAGTATCGGAACTGATCTAGTAAGTGTTCATAATAATAGGGAAACTAATTTTCTAATAACTAATTTTACACAGATTTCTCAGTGGATAGGACTCAGCAATTTTCAAAACAATGGGAAATATGTCTGGAGTGACAGAACAATTTTGAATTATACTGATTGGGGAGAATCAGAACCGAATAACTTCAATAATAACGAGA